TATGTGTCATTAATAACATCATGTACATGAATCACATTCATGCTGTGGTGCTTGAGTGCTACTGCCTCCTAGCTGTGAGATCCTGGGTTTGATTCTGGGTAGGGGTGGCTTTCTGTGCGATATTGAATGTCCTCCCCTTATTTGTATGGGTTTACTCTGGTTTCCTTCCACCTCCTGGAGACATGCTGCTATGTCTGTTTGCCTCTCTGTATTGTCCATCCTATGTTCCGGCTCTGTCAGGGATAGCTCTGACCTCCATCTGCCCAGTGCATCAGGTTTAAATATATTATAGATCATTTCTATGCTATATGTTACAATCTGTTCTGTGAAAACCCCTAGCTTTCAACTCATAATTCATCATATTTTTATGATGCTTCCCCCTGTGAAAATACAACTTTTTGCACATCAATATTGCATAGTCTTGAAATACAAAATTGATATCGCAGGAATTAACTGCATGTAATGTTTTAGAAACAGTGAAAGGACCGACAACTGCAGCCTCATAACTTGCATGAATTCTGGTTGGCAGATGATTCAGAACTTATGATTTGGTTTCTAAAGTGAATTCTGTTGCTGAAGGTAGATATTAGAACAGTCTCTTGGCCAGCTGGACAAACTGTCCACTCATTTGCAAATGAATTTGATGGGCATGCTGAATGCAGTTTGCTGCAGGAAAATCACAGTGTCTGATTGTTGTTTTTTTTAAATAGGAAACAGGGCTGGGTCCGAATACATGAGTAATTTCCCACTATGAAGCACAGTTTGAACAACAATCAAACCGTCACTGAAGAACAAAGCTGACAGCATGGGCAAGGTGTGATTTGAAAGTGACAGTAGCCCAGCTTGTGATTGTCACCTCCTGATTTAAAATGTTCCCTTGCACAGACTGCAACTCCAAATCACCAGGCGTTGCACAAAACTTATCTTCCTTGTGCTTCTTTCTTTTTCACCAGTATCGTCATTTGCTTCACTAATAGTGAGACAAATAAAAAGAGAGTTCAGGATTTAGGGATAAGGACTGATAGGGATGGAGTTTTCTGTAGCACTCAATGGGGAGGTCAGTGGTAGCTCCCTTTTCAACATTCTTGACAAGGTTGTCACCCCTGTTTGACATTAATTCCCCTAATTACCATCTTTTTTCAAGATTTTACATACCCACTTATGGCAATTATTTTCTGTCTCTACCAATTACTGGGACTTTAGCCCCTACATAACCTCTTCCCTGCAATAGAAAAGGAGGCTCCTCTGTGGAAATATCTCTTGAGTAATTAGAATTTAAAAGCCCTTTTTCCCAGTTCAAATAAATAAGTAAATAAGGATGGAGGGGAGTTTGTATGATCTCCCTGTGTTTCTGTGGATTTCTCCCAGGTGCTCCCATTTCCTCCCGCAGTCAGTTGGATTCTGGGATAATTGGCCTGGTGTGGGTCTGTGTCTGTGCTCATTGGGATAGGCTCTGATTCCCCCCGTTGTTCCTGTATTGGATAAAGTGGTTAGAAAATGGATGGATGGACATATAAATAAACATGCTGATTTGATAAAAAACATTTTTAAATAACAGTGACATCAATTGGTATGCCCACCCACTTTGAAATTTCCAGTTGTTTGATGATTCTGCTCTCCAGCAAAGGCAGCTGGTCCCATCGGAGAGTGGACGACACACATGGACACTCCCACTTCCTGAACAGGGTGCTTATCTGACCTGCTGCAGGCGTCACACAGTGTCAGGCAGGAGGGACAGTGATGACTGGAAAGGTGACTTGTCTCTCATGGATGTCATTGCAAGCGTGCAGGCTCCCTGCTAGCCACTGTTGTTCTGAGAGCACGGAGAGCCCTGCCTGACAAATCCCATTCCTGCCCATGCAGATCTCAACCAATTGTGGGCTGCTGCTCTGAAAAGCCAAACGCCACTTCTTCTCTTTGTCTTGCATTCCTTTGTCCTGTCCACACCAATTTCATGGAGCAACCTAGACTTATTTACTAATCCAGGGAAGATAAGTAAGGAATTGTGTAAATTCTCAAGATTGCAGGAGCAAGCTGAAAGATGTCACTGATCAAATTGTGCACTGTAGGAGAGTGTCTCTGTAGGGTATTTCTATTAACACTAAGATAGGGTCCCCATACACTGCTACTTTAAACAAACCTGGATTCTCACTGAAGTTCCTAAAACTTCAGTTAATGTTTTATTAGTTCTGAAGTGCGTCAGCCAGACTTTGTAAGAAACTGGTATATTAAAATCAGGTTTAAAATTTTTAATAATCTAGTGAAACTGAAGAATCATCAAAATTATGTTATGTTTTTTGCACCCCGCACCACTTAATCATCAGCTAACGATGTCATAAGTCACTTAAATTCCAGCTAGTGGTCTTTGATCAAGAAAAATATTTTTTTCAATAATCATGAGAGCAGTGAATTGCATCCATGTTTCACAGCCAGTATTTGTTCTCCCCCATGTTCTGCTTTGTCCTCCACACTGCATACACCCTGATCTTTTAGGTTTGGCAGCACATAACCCCTAATTTATTTTACAGAAGGAATTTGGAAGAAATCTCAAAAACCTCATTAACTCAATGCATAACCTACTGTGTCTGAGATCCCAGTGCTTGTGCAGAGAGGGGCTGAATCACATCACTCTTTTGTTTGCCATAGTGCCCTTTGCAAGAAGCTTGTCCAAGAGCCCTGTAGAGATCTGTGCCGCAGGTGACAGTATAGCAGCAGTGGGCCATGTGGGCACAGAGAAGAGGGAAGTAAAAACCCCAAGTGGGAGGAAGGAAACCTCTTGGGGTCCCAGGCCCTGTGGTTGCCCCCCCCCCCATCCAGCAATGAGCTTGTGGTGCATTAACTCTAACAGATCATGAACATTTTCTGCAAGGCTAGGGGTTAGGATCCTGAAGTCCTGGGTCTGTCATCAGTGTCAGCTGACCGAAAGAGCTGAGGTTTTCCTGGGTCAGCCATCTTGGGTCTGGAGATGCAGGTTCTGATGTCACAGACCAACAGGACATGTGTGTCCGAGGCATCTGATCCGAGGCAGTGGGAAGATAAAAAGGGAGAAGTGATGCTCGCACTGCCCTGGATCTCTACAAGATGTTACAGACTGCACTTTATAAAAAGTATAGGTGCTATATAAAAGTTTCTTCTTCTCAACAATAAAGTCATAAACATGTGCTATTAATCAATGCACCTTTGAATATACAGAGTATATTCTACATTCATACATTTTCCTACAGTAAACTGGGTTTAGATACAAACTTGCTTCTTTCTCTGTAGAAGGCTCGCTTTTCCTTTTGGATAATACCTTGAACTCATATGTAGGAGACAATTTTTCTAAAAAGGTAACAGATAGCTGAACAAAGAACACAAGGAGTTTTACTGACAGAATATCAGCGGAAAGCAGATCTATTTTGGTAGTCATAGGTATCTATTTCATTCTGTTCTTTTTTGTTACTTTATTCCTGACAGTCCTTGTAACAGTATTAGTAGTAAAAAGCAGCTGTAGCTGTAAGATCAGATGTTGTACTACACTTCGTAGTATCAGTTTTAGCAGCTGTAGTATCAACAGCAATTGTAGTAACAGTACCAGCAGTAGTAACTTCAGCTTAAATAACAGCTCCAGATGCTTTAACAGTAGTAGCAGGAGTAACACTAGCAGAAGAAGAATTAGCACAACTGATGAATTAAGTTAAAGCACCTCTTTGGCAACCATCCGCAGTCTTAAAAGCTCTTTCATCATTTAAAAGACATGCTGAGATGTTTTAGGTTACTGTATGTATGGAAAATGCTACCACCTAAGTCCAAAATTCAAATTCTTTTTTTTCCACTTGACATATTAACTCTGGTTTCGATGACCATAAAAATGATTTCTCCTTGCGGATGTTTTGTTTACTTTTGCTGAAAGTGTTAAGTGGTATGATGCACACTCAGAGGTTACTTTGGGTGATTTTAGTAGGTGTGGCTCTAACATTTGATGAACAGGGACTATTTTAATGCTCAGATCTCTGTCATTACCCTTCCAAAGGTAATGATGTTTTCACCACCTCGCCATTAAACACACAAATGTGTTAATCTCTTCTGTTTGTCCTATAAAACAGTCTAATAAGAAGTGGTGTCCTGAGTATCTTGTGTCCTGTGCTTCCGGGATATGGACTTGCCAGGAACAAGCGGCTTTCTGAAAATGAAGGAGTGGATTGACAGCATCTCCCCAAGTCACAGGCTGTGCTTAATTTAATCTTTATTATTTTGGTCGATGGAGTTTATATTTTTAAGAAAAACTCTGCAATCTATAGGAAACACTCATGTTTACTTATGCAAATAGCAATTTTTACTGGAGCAACTGAAGAGGAACCTGTGAATAATTTGGTAGCAACTGAAAACATGTGTATTTTTGTGACTTCTAGAAAAACAACAGCTCTAGTGACTCTGATTGATATCTGGAAACCCTTATTATTGCACTATATGTTGCCAACACAGGTGTAATGCTACGTGCCATTAAAGCCAGGGACAACGTGTGACATAACATTTGATTTGTATTTCAGACTGCCTTCTCTTGGACAAAAATATCCGTCCAGGGCCACTTGTTTTCTAATTAATGTTGTTTTCTTGACGATACCCCCCGGATTTTTACTTTTTTTTAACTATATATAGTATGAAGTATTTTTATTCGGAAAGAAAGCTACTGAGTAGAATAAATCCACTTATTTATTTCAAGATATATCTTGTTGATTAACACCGTTCGAAATCGCACTTACCAATGTGTACATTTTATTTACAAGATATTTATTTTTGTATGCTTTAATTAGCTATAAGTGCTATTCGTGGTAGGGGAACGCGCTCTGCGGCTGAAAGGAAATAATGTTAAAATGAACACTGGTTTTCCCCGGTCGTCCCAAACCGGAATTTTAAAAAAAAACGTATCACCCCTATGACATCACCGGATCATTAAAGCGATCTCGTGTGAGAGACCCCGCTTACCCACGCACAACCGTCTTCACCATCCCATTTCACTACCCCCTCTAAAATATGCGCTTTTAAAAAAGAAAAGAAAATAAAAACACGGTTTGAGCCGCGCGTTGTAATTCATCTCCGCTGTATGCGCGTCGCCGTGCTGTTCCTTTCGTGGGACGGGCACCTCGCTTTGTGTCGATCTGGGAATTTGGGTTTCGCACTTCCTGTTGAATTTCGTGGTGATTCTGGTCCTTAATGCTTTGGAGCGGGTAGCACAGATATAGGCTACGCTTTTCCCTCAGCCCCTTCAGTGCTGCGATTGAGTATTTTTGCGAAGACCAGCGTTTCGTTACTGTACAACATCGAATAGGGTCTGATTCAAACAGGTGGAGTGGGTGGAGTGTGCAGAGGGGTCCTGCTAGTATTACCATATGAACATGTATTATCTGTCAAATCGCTCCTAGCCCGGCGTCTGGGGGAGGTGCAGCCCATTTCGGCTGTTCCCAAAACCGCTCAGTACTCGCCAGCGTGTTACTGCGGCTTCTCCGCGTCAGTTTGGCTTATTCGGGTTTTTTTTTCCTTCAAATAACAGCGTGAACATTTCAGAGACCTCTTAACATACAGGTGGGAGATACCCTCTCCTGTAGGACAGCCCCCTTTCTCTGCTGTAACGGAGGATGTGTGCGGCGGGCATTTGTCGTTGCGTTTTGGGACAGGAGGGGAATCGCTATTGCAAACAGGTGTGATAGCACACGGAGAGCCGGTTTCCAGGGGATCGGGGTTACACGCCAGACGCGCATGGTGCTCATCCTCTCGGACTAGAGCACCCCTTTTTCTTTTTGGCTTTTTTTGTGTGCTGAAAGGACATAAAAAAAAAGAGAGGCCGAGCGATGTCTAAAAATTCAGCTGTGGATTTAATAAGGAGAAGCCCCGTGTCGGAGGGAGAGATGTTCAGCGAATTTCAGGACTGGTGCCTCCGGACTTACGGGGACTCGGGTAAAACAAAGACCGTCACCCGGAGAAAATATAACAAGATTCTGCAAACGCTGCTCCAGAGCGACGAGTCGGACGGCGTCTATATCGAGAACAACCACATCAACGCCAAATTTAAATTCTGGGTGAAATCTAAAGGGTTTCAGGTCGGGAGCGGTCACAGCGAGCCGAAGAAAGGCGCAGCGGGGAAGCCTGTACTCTACGTCCCCGTAAAGACAACGGTTAGTCTATCTTTCTCTGTGTTACATACCCTTGCCCTGCTGCCTAACTAGAATTCGGGATCCCCTCTCTCCTCTTTCCATTTCTAACTTTTCTTCCCTTTCCTTTCGCCTCCGAGAACCGGGAATGTAAAGGACACGTCCCAGCACCGTCACCCATGAGATGGGTACGGGCTGTGGGAGCCAAGCAATGTCGTGAGCTTGCTTTTGTGTCCTAACAACTCTGGGGTTTTTATGGAGAGAGAGAGAGAGCATCTGTTTGTTTTATTATTATTAAAGGGGGGTCCGCTCTAGCCGTTCATTAAACTCAAGATGGACAGGTTCCCATTAGGTCCGATGTGTCCCGTGATAGTCTATTAGCAGATTATCAATAGGTGTGCGGGCGACGTGGAAATTGTGTGTATGTGGGTGTGTGCGCGCGTTATGGTCACGATGCCCTGTCCTGTCAGGCGATCAGCCTCGACCGATACGCTGACTCCTTGCGCAAGCAAGGAAGCACAGTGGATTATAAAAGTGGTATTAAAAAATAAAATGCAGACGTTTTCTTAATTACCGCATATGAAAATTACAGATAGTACAGGAATAAAAAAAAAACACATACTATTCCACTTATGCGGGTCAATTTCATGCATTAAGGAAGGTGGAAATGTGAAATATCCACGTTCGTATTAAATATGCATAATTTAATATCGCCTTTTAATAATATAGCACGCCAGTAAGTTTGATGTCCGCATTCGTGCCTACGGCTCAGCGGTGCCTGTATATTAGTGACCAGTGCCTTGTCTTGCATATCCCACAAGCTGGGTGCCCGCTTGGTACATTCGTCTTTATGATACCCAGTACCTGTTCCCCTCAATCTGATAGAACACTTTGTTAATCTATTTTCGTGTGCCTGCTGCACCATTTAAAATGGCTTAATCTGAAAGCGAGTACTGCTTTCACTGAATTCATCTGCCACTTGTCCAATGTAGTCTGCTGGCCTGCAGGAGTGCTGGGTCTGATTTTGTGTTCTGCTCCTTCAGGAGTGGTGGGAGAAGTAATGTATACCATTAAAGTCTGGTGTTAATTGTCTCATTAATCTATTCCACCTAACGGCACGTTTTTTAAGTATTCTCAAAAATGCTTTAGCAGGGCTACCACATCTGCATACGCTTTAAGACTACTGCTTTGTTACAGCAATCTTGTGACTTTAAAATGAGCGTCAGGTGAAGGCTGTTATTGAAAAGTCTGACACATGAAAGACTGTTTTTGGTTTGGGATGGAAGACCTAATTTTTGAAAAAATACCCATCTGATATACTGTAGATCTCTCCCATAACTTTCTGAAGAGGGTTTTTATAGACCTCGATCTAAAATGACAGTAGGCGCTCTATTGTTTTGACTGCATACTAGAGAAAGATCCATCAATAAGAGTTGGGTTTATTTTTCAGATGATTACATGAGCAGAAAGCGACTGTACACTGTTCTCTTGGCGTGAGTGTGCTGGTGTTAGTCTTGCTTGTGCTTTGTTTTGTTATAAGGGTTTGTCAGGAGGTGTGACAACTTATAAAGCCCTCCTAACAGACTTAAGTTATTTTTAGTTTCACCTGTGAGTTATGTAACAGTTTGCATGAAATTATGTAGATGGATTCCATTCAGATTTGTTTTGTGCACCCTTTGTTTTCTTCTAGGGTTTGCAATCCAGCATATTCTTTGTAACCGCATTGTAAATCAGCATAAAAGTGCAAAAACTACAAATCGTTACCTGTATTGTGAGTGAACGGCACTGGAAAGTTGGACAATTGCCCAGATTTTGGCTAAATGAGAAGGAATTGGCAATCTCCCCTGTTTTCTGAGCCAGGTTTCAGTGTGAACAACTTCTGTATTTTCTCCTCTGTTGGGGAGAGAATGAGAACTTAAAAACAAGAAGGAGATTTAGATTCGAGGCTGTGGGGGTTTCACTGGAAGATAGGTTCTGAATTCTATGAAAAGCAAAACAGACCTTCTGCTAACATCTGTGGATAGTGCAGATATAGTGTTAAGCCTTTGTGAAAAGCTATTCTGATTTCTATGCTATAGTATAATTCATATCCCTTATATACTAATTTACAAGGCATGCCTGTTAGAAAAAGGTTATGATTTGGTATGTCCTATTGGAAAGGACAAAGAAGGTCTTATCACTACTTTTATTGAAAACTCTTCTTTGCAGCATTTCTCCTTATGTTCTTACTTTGGTAAAGGAGAAACATCTGCTGCAATGAATTAAGACCTCTGACAGCACCGCTTCTGCGCTTACTCGGGGACTGTGAAGTGTTAATGGCAGCTTGTAAAGTCAAGATCCCTCGATCATTATCAACCCTGTGTTTCCTACTTTCATTTAGTCATCACTCTTGAATGGATAAATCATGCTCTCACTTTTAAGTAGTCTCAGTGTCATGTCTGTGGCCGCTGGGTTTGTCTCATGCAGCACAATTTCCTGAAGAAATAGGTCAGATGGGGTTTTTTTTTTTTAGTTCCTGTCAAGATTTGTACTATTCCTATCAATGTGTCCTCTAACAGGACGTTTCTTAAAACCAGGCAATTAATGAATGTTTTCTTCTCTCATGCAAACAACAGAGGTTTTGCCCCCAAAGTTGGTCTGCTGTTTAAAAATCACTGAATGTGGTGGTCCTGGTTTAAATTCAAGAAGAAAGAAAGATTTCTGGCAATCGTAGACCTTGAATTTGAAGAAAGTTCAAAGTCTTGAAGGCTTTTTATAATTCAGTAATTCCGGCTGCTCTTCTTACTGCTGGTACTGTATATGTAGTTGATTCAAGACATCACATGCTTTGAGATGTTTTTATTTAAGACCACCTTTTAACTCGGCGTTGGGGATTAAAGGCAATGTCATAAACTGCTGCACTTTTCTCTTAGGTTAGTTGTATTGTTTTTAAATCTAAGTATTGAACATTGAAAGAAAAATAGTGGGATGCAGGAGCATGTTTTACATATAGCCCTCTTCAAGAGAGCACACAACCTGTCTCCCTCTGGATGGGAGTTCAGTCCCTTGCACAAAAGCAGCTTTCAAATACCAAAATAACATGGAGACCAAGGCCAAAATTTCCTAAATAAAAGAACACAGCCAAGAGTTCTCAAACAGCAGTACACAATTGGTTCAGTGCCAGTGAGAGTGGTTTTATTGTCTAATTTAGTGAGGTGACATCTCCAATGCTTTGTGAAGCACATGCAAATTTGCACTTACATCTTTGAAAGATGTGCCCCTCCAATCTACGGTGAGGCATCATGTGAAATGACACGTGGCTCTGAATGCTGCCTGAGCTGGAGGAGTATGTATGCATGTCCTCATTCTCCCCATTTGTGGTACAAGGGTGGTGACTGTTTAGATGACTCATGAACAATTAATTGGCAATCCCAAATAATTCAAGATTTATTGTCCTAATTAAAAAAAGAAAAAATGGTCTGTGAACAGGATGAAAGGAATTAAAAAGGAAGGGTGCCCAGGGTCTCACTGTCACAAGCTGCATTGGAGGTGGGCAGCTGTAGTTCTCTAGAGCTGCACCACCTATCCTCAAGCCAGCAACTGTGCATAATGTGTTAAATTTAGCATATAAGTGGTTCAATTAAGTTAACAGCAGAGCATAATCTAAATGACCCTGCCACCCTTGAGAATGAGGTGTCCATCACTATACTGTACGTTAAACACCTGTTACACAACCCTGTTTGGTCGAAGAGTTCCTCTCTTCAAAGAAGACAGGAGGCTTCATTTCTTTTTGTAAGAAAAACAGGAGCAGTCGCTGTGCATTTACACTTATGGGTACAGAACCTGAAATGTCTAGATTGGTGCACAAGCATGGGATGACCAGGACGAAGCTTTGTTTTCGTCCATTTTCCTCTCCTTTCTTTTTGTCAGCTGCACTGAGGTGTTGAAGACTTTCAATAAATGTGTGAGCCCAGGTAACCTAATTGTGAGCGCTGCTATCTTCCCAGAAATCTGTGGTCTCAATGGGGCTCTTATCCTGGTGAAATAAATACATGAAATTGAAGATAAAGTGATCTGTTTTTTTCTTACCCCTTCTGTTCACACGCAGTGGGTGTGTGTGGGGGGCAGGGGACAGGGGAGCACCTGGCTTTCAGTGATGAGTGTGCAGTAGCTGCCTCCTGGTTAGTGGCCATGTTTGCACAAGTGAGCTGGCAGGAGAGATACAGGAGGAGTGCCTGTGTGTTACAGTACAAGAGTGAGGAGGAGGCTCTCTCTGGGACTCCCACTAGAGCATCATTAAAAACTACTTTTGTTTCATAACTCAACACCCCAGAAGGCGGTGTGTACAGGGGAGCCCGCAAAAGGTCCACGCACAATGCTGGACCTTTTGACATCTTTACATAGTCCTATTTTTCCTTCCCATTTTGTGTCCTGAATCAGTTAAAGAACTTTGCCTGTAGAAGACTAAAAACAAACTCATGCTGTCTCATGCTGTCACCTCCTGACAGACAAAGCAGAACTGCCACAGCAGAGCTCTGTTTCTTCAGCCAGCGTGTGTCCAGTTTGGAAATCGTACATTTTTTTTTTCTTACTGACTGAGTCCCTTGTTTTTGCAATTGAAGCTATCCAGAACCCGGTATTTTCTGGATTGCGTAGCCAGCAGCCAGGCCTGTCCTACACCCGACAGTTCGAGCTAAAAGACGCTACGTCTGACCTCTCTGCATTGTTGCTTTCAATAACAGTGTCATCTGTCACAGGACAGGATACAGATGCTAGCGTTCTCTCCCAGGGGTGAGTGGGGGAAGTGTAGTTACAGGGGAGGGGGGAGGAAGGGGTGAGTTTGGGGAGCTTATCTACCTGCTCAATTCGATTTAGCTCTTGTTTGGCTATAGAAACAGCAGCTGTCGTTTTGCAGGCTTTTATTTATCTCATGCTGTTCCGAACTGATCTCTGATCTTGCCGTGAGAATCAATAGCCATAAAAAGTTGCATGGCTCGGTCTGAAATGAAGAACGAGTGAATTTACTTTTTTTCTCCCCCTGTTCT